GTGCTTGCCCTGCCTTTCGGCAGTATTGCGCCCACGACCCTTGAACTCGGCCACCGAAGGTCCCAGTTCCGACCTGGGACTTCAACCCCCACTTTTCCAAAAATCCTTGGCACACCCCTCTTCGCACTTCCAGGCCCCCATCCCACTCCGATCAGGAAGTCGCGCCGGGCGTGAAGTTGGGCGTTACATGCCAGCCCCAACTGTAGTGTGCACCACCAGGACCCCACAGCCTGCGGCAGATGTCCACGGACTCCCGCAAACCGTTTTCCCGGACCCCACAGACCGAAGACCGCGGCTTGGAAAAACGTAGTTTTCTGTTTTCACGTAGTCCGCAGCCTGGAAAGGTCTCACGGGAGGATTCCTCGCGGCAATTTTGTGCCAACTCTAGAGGGTAGGGGGGAGGGTGTGTCTGTCCTGGAAAGGTCTTGGAAAAGTCTCACGGGAGGCAGCAGCCAATAGCGACCAAGATTGCCACAAAAAAAAAAGGAAAAACAAAGAAAACAAGAAAAAAAAAAAGAGTGCCGACGGAGAAAGGCAACGATTGGCTCAACTGATTCCCAAAGGGTTTCCACGGCGCATTTGGTCCTCCGCGGTGGGGTCCCCGCAGAACTGCTTTCCAGCTTTCCAAAATTCTTTGCCCTTTTTTTTTGGCCGGACGGTTTTTCCATCCTTTTTCCTGTGGGGTTCAACTCTAAGACTATATATAGAGGGGACTCCCCTGCAAGCAATTTACCTTGCAAACGAGGTAAATCATGTTGCACCCCACCCCAACAGCGGTAGTCAGAGATGGGGTGGGCCTGCCGGTGGGGGTCTGGCTAACGCAAAGACCGAGCATTTTGCCAGTTGCACCCCCCTTTCTACTCGCTCCCCACCCCTCATCGAGTAGCAGCAGAGGCTATGGCCAACACTCTCCCACACACCACACACAACCCACTCGCACTCGCACTCACACCTGTGTAGGTCATAGACCCCGCTAATACCGATCAGGGGTATCCAGAGGACTATCACAGTCCGTTGGCACTAAGTGCGCCTCAGGCGGTCATGTCTTTGTTTTTCCTTTCTTTATTTTTGTAGTGTCTTTTCTGATCTGTCCAAGATCTGAAAAGTGACAAAAAGGGCATGGCCACATCACTCTAGAAATGTGCAAAATGAGAATGAACTTCGCAGTAGAACATGGCCAGATGCACCCACCACATTTTTGTCTTTTTCACATTTCCCCAGTGGTGTAGGGAGGCCCAAACTTTAGAAATAATTCAGGCGGTGGCCTAAATTTGGTCATTTCTAATTTTCTATTCATAGATCTCCTTTTTTTTTTTTTTTTTTTTTTTTTGAGAAACCAGCTCATGCTCTCCTGTGGTTGTGTTTTTTTTTTGATAGAGCTGATGCTAGAAAGCTAAGCTAAACTGGCTGAGCAAACCCTAGCGTTAGTGCTAGCGCCTTGGAATTTTTTCACCCGAGCGAGCGCTGGGCTGTGGGGGATCGCGTTCATGCAGCCGTGATCAGTGCTGCGTGGTGCCAAAACCTAGGGTTGGGATCGCGGAGGCTGTGGGGGAGAAGAGGTGCGTGGGCGCAGGGTGGGGACTGCCTTGAGGAAGCACTGAAATGGTTCTGCCATATCCTGGTGCCGGTCGGTGTATGCTGGCATTCCTGGAGAGACTACGGGAGGATGGAGGAGATGTGTGGTGGTTCGAAGGGTGGGATCCGGGTGTCGCACATACCAGTATGCGAAACTTGTCAGGGACTTTTCCCCTGGCTTTGATACGGAATCAGAAGCTGAAGATTTACGGGGAGATGAGAGACGCGTGTGCATCGACGAGCGCCGGCTTCCGGAAGAGCGACACCAGAGCTTAGCGGTTACTGGTATCGCCCACCGTCGTTGACATCGGGCTTTAAGCTGCGATCTGCGTTGCTTTGTGTTGCTGATGCTCCTACTTCGGGTATGGTGTAGCTTGCAAACTCTTCATCC